CTAGTGGCCAATCTAAAAAACTACAACAGAAATGACAAGCCACCCTCTGATTAATGAAATAAGTTAGTATCGGTTCATGGTATCGGTTAACTTTTACGAGTTAACCGATACCACATTTTACAGTATCGGTCCCGATACCCGATACCAGTATTGGTATCGGTGCATCCCTACTGGCTACCATTACCTTAAATGAATACGTATAAATAAAAAAATGAATTTAGTGTATTTGTTCTTTGGCCTCCAGGATAAAAGCTGTTTTGAAGGTAAAGATAAGTTTGTTTGTGAGACGCTGCTTCAAATGAACATTTCTGCCTTTTGTCACAGAAACATTAGAGACTTAAACACTTCATCAAGACCTGAGCCTGACTCACAGTACGGATGTTCAGCAAGCTGTGAGCATAAAGAGCACACTGAAGGTGATTATAGGAAATGTGCTCATGCTATAAACTAACTGTCAGCTGCTTTTTCCTCCTTTCTGTGTCTCCTGAGTCTCTCAGCCTTAAAAAAGCTCAAAGACAAGAGTACCAGTTAAAGCAGATATATGACAACGGCATGAGATCATTTTGCACTCCTGCAGTGCAGGTCACCGTGTCACATCAGAAATAACACAAGCTTCATTTATTGTCATCATTTGAAGCGCCACTTGAAATGGCAGAGTTTCTATTTTAGGCTTCAGACAGAGACGTTTTCTTTGGTCCCAGGATGCGTTCAAAGGCAGCAGGATGGTGCTGTCGCAGCTTTGGGATGGAGGCAGAGGTGCTGCGCTTCATCAGATATGATCGCAGCAGACAGAACAGCACTGAAAGTTCAGAGTGAACGGGCAGAAAGCTCTCTGTCTGACTGGACCACTGCCTTCGTGGCGCCAGCTCAACGACATCCTTGTCGTTTCTTTGAAACTCACATTGTGCTATTTTGTATTCTATGAACTGTTCAGCTTTACATTTCTGTTACTGTCCTTTTTATAATCTAGTGTTGTGTTTTCAGAGAGGAGACTTCCTGCTGCCTTAAAAATGTCTCTCTGGGATTATTTTCAAAGCAGGTAAAAAAACGAGACATTAAAACAAATTCTTTCATTTTCTTTGCTAGAAAACAGGAACTGTAACCATACCCGAGGCGGGGTGGCGAGCCCCGAGCGGGTCTGATTCTGCAGCTGACCGAGGACGCCGGCCTTCCAGGGACCCTGTGTTTTTTTAGCTGTCCAGTTCCTGATAAAGATCAGCAATCTGGCTGCTCTATTTTTAGTAAAGATATTACTGGCAAGGAGGGGATGGAGACTCCAGCTTTGTATGCCGCTTGCTTCCTGCATCATCAGGGATGGCTGTTTATCAGCGAGCACTGTCTGAGCCCCGCTGCTGTGCCTTCAAATGATATGATGATCGGCCTCATTAGCAAAACATTAAAGGGTCTCAACTCCCCACATTCAGAACTCAGCAGCCTGTGTTTAATTGAAATGGGATAAGGCACATTGTGGAAATGAGAAACGTTATCACAGAGTTTGTGACCTGATCCGACCTCTGGTGGTGATCAACAAGAAGCCGACGCCCACTGTCCTAAAACCACATTCACTATATGGTGGACAGTTCTGTGCCCCGCATTGCTTTTTGTTTGCCAGACCATGCGGCCGTTTTTTAAGTCTTCTTGAGTCGTAGTTCTCAAATCTTTCAAAGTTTTCCTTTGGACATTGGCTGCTTTTTCACCCATTTTCAGTCCTTGTGCCTGAACATTTCAGAGGATTATTCTTTGTTTGGTTTTTGGTAGTTGAACTACTTCAAACTGACCTCCGAATAACTGAAATATAAAGAGACACCTAACTCAAGAGATGAACCAGAGTTGTGTTTACAACATAAAAAGAACCTATTATAAATTGGGCACCTTAGTTTTTAGCAGCCTGTTGCAAAAATATAATTTTTTTAAATCTATGAAAAATATCAAAGACTACCTAATCTGACAGGCAAAAACAGAACCAGCAAAGTGTTTCCCAAACTGCTGCAATGTGTCCTACAGAGGGTTGAGGAATGTAGAGGACAAAAATAAGTGTCGGGCCTAAAGAAGGGGTAAAATCTTGCAAAGGCCCTTGAGCTGAGAAATGATCGTTTGCATGAATTAAAACACTTCACAGTAAACACAGTTACTACTTCGCTGCTCCAAACACCTTGACTAGAAGCAGTGTGATTCTCTCCTCACAAGCTGTTCTCTACTTCTGGTCAACATGATTAACCCTTTGATTAGGATTGATCATTCAAGTCCACCTTAAAACTGGTGCATTCTATTAAAATCTGTCATAATTCATTATTCTTAGGTCATCCAACTATTTAAGTTGATTTTGAAGGTAACATAATCCTGAAGTGAGGTTTGCAAACATGTGATAGTATACTATGGAATATCCTGTACTGTGTAAGTAGACGAGTGGGGCCTATTTCACTTTTCCCAGAACAATATAAAGAAATGAAGGGTGAAACGTGTCTGTTTGTCCTTTGGTGTTTGTGTCTCATGTTAGTTACTGATGTGCTAGTGTGCTGAATGTTGTGCTGTGGTGATCACTCACAGGGGTGCGTAAAGAGCTCTGCTGGAAATATTCGCTCCACTTCCTCCCCCTCTATCTGCCAGTGCAGTTAGCAGCTAACCAAGACCAACATGAGCCTAAAATACTCTGTTTCATTCTGATCCCAGGTTTTATAGATGTGATGAAGACGGAGAGTAACTCTGTTACTCAGAGTTTCAGCCGTATATCAGGGAATAATGATGCATGTAATTACAGACAGATCAGCTGCTGTGTACTTGTTGATTGAGCTGTGCTTGGATTGCTGAAAGATGTCACTGTTTCCTGCTCTGCACTCTGGGGAGACGGCGACGCGCCTTCTGGTTGACGGCAGCGTCTCAGCTGTAAAAGCTCCTGGAAACCACAGAAATGCTGTTTCGCTGAGGAAAAGGAAACTTCTTGGTTTTGTCACTGATGTTTGCCACCTGATGCAAAAACATCACAAATAATTTGTGAATAAGCAACACTTGACACTAAAGTACATGTACAGCTTATATTTGAACTGCTGCTCTGACTTCTGTTCACACCATGAAGTACTATGATAGTACTTTTGTTACCTGATGTTACTACTCCACGCATCTGAGACTCGATGGCAGCCTGAGTAAAGGGGGCTGCTGTGATTAGGTCTCAGGCCTTTGAGGGTCCTTTTTTCAAAGGTTGAAGATGGGAACAGATACACAGCTGCAGTGGTAACCAGCTCTGTGTGTTGGTTTTGACATGGAAGGATGCTCAGACTCTCCAGGGCCTCGTTTGCTTTCATCAATAAATAAAGAACACATCAAAAACATAAACGTAGTAAAGCTACACAGAGTTTTATATCAGAGTAAAGAGAACTACATGCAGAGATACTGGGTCATTTGCAATCACAGTTATCCCCGACGATTATAGAATATGAATTTTATATTATAACTGTATGTCACTGAATGTTGTCAAGTATTATTTGCACTTTAAAATGTATATTAAAAAAACAGAACCCATTTTTTATGACAAGCTGATTATGAAAGGAAGTTACTCGCTGTCACGTTGTTTCTTCGTCGGGATTGTGCAAAGACTTTCTTGTCCTTTGTAAAGAAAACATAAAAACGCTCCTTTGTGTGATATAAATGTGAAGTCCTTCCGTTACAAACATACTAAGTGCTGCTGTAAACAAACACTTTCTCTGCAGGTTTTATTCTGCAGATCTGAGCCTAACTGTCTCTGTCCAGCTCGATGTAATGCACCACCTGTACAGTGCACAGAGACTGTTGTTGCTTGCTGCCACTGTTAACACAGTTTTGGTTTTGTGGTGGCAGAGGATCAGCTCCTCCGTCCCAGCCTGCCCTTTACGCGCTAAAGCTTTAATCGGTGCCCTGGTCACATGATTGCTGTCTGTGCGTCGGTCCCTGTTATTCTCCTGTTTAGTTGAGCGTTATGACTAAACTAATACTTACTTAATTGTTTAAAACACGCGTGTTTTCGCTACTGTGCGTGTGATGTGCTGTCAGGAGGACAGATGTCTTCTTTAAGGTCAGTATGTCATTCACATCACACATTTATAGGCAAACCTTTACAACAGGTGCCTCTGCACGAACACACATGAAGTCCTCGAAGATGGGAGTATTTAAACCATCACTCACAGCGAGCTGTGCGATCTGTGCTGAAACTGGAGCCTCCTGGAGGCTCTTTTTCTTTCCTGGGTGGAAATTTCCTCTTCAGATTCTTTGATTCTTTGATCGAGTCCAAACCGTGACGGCACGGAGGACGGGCGCAGATCAACGTCCTGATTTTCTGAAGCAAAGAGTGAGGCGGTGCCACAACATGACTTTAATCATGTGATGATATGTAAGGTGTCGACATCACTCTTGGAGTCTTGGTGCTGCGTTACACATTTTAAGTAACGAGCCCGACGATGACGAGTGCGTCTTGGACGCCGGAGACGCGCAACGGCACGAGGAGCTCAGTGTGTTTGGAGCCACCGGCTGAGATCATTCATCACTCGCAGCACTGACCGACCGGCCGACTGAACAGATAGCGGGATACAAACAGACTCCTTATGTCTCTGTGAAATATCCCTCAACAAAAGATGGATGTCCTCCTCGCCCCCCCAAAAGAGACAACAGCGACGGGTGAGTGAAATCGGAGATGCTGCGCACGGCGGCCAAAATCCCGGAGCTTTTGTGAACAGGACTGTGGGTGTGTGCGCGTCAGGCTCGCTGTTAAACCTTCAGACTGCACTCGCCAACTTCCCCCGCTTTCATCAAGTCATGTCTGATACAGAGCGATGGGCAAGTTTGACGACAACGAGAGGATAATCCTCAACGTCGGGGGGACGAGGCACGAGACCTACAAAACCACCTTAAAGACGCTGCCGGGGACGCGCCTGGCCCTGCTCGCCTCCGATTCGGACATCGACTCCGTGCTGGATCAGCTGCAACAAGTCCCCGGCTTCATCGAGTACAACGCGCGGACCAACGAGTACTTCTTCGACCGTCACCCGGGCGTCTTCGCCTACGTGCTCAACTACTACCGCACCGGCAAGCTTCACTGCCCGGCGGATGTGTGCGGACCGCTGTTCGAGGAGGAGCTCTCCTTTTGGGGCATCGATGAGACGGACGTGGAGCCCTGCTGTTGGATGACATACCGACAGCACCGGGACGCGGAGGAGGCTCTGGACGTGTTCGAGCTCAACGTGGACAACGGAGACGAGGACGACGAGATAGGGAAGAGGCTCGGCATCGAGGACGTGGCTGCCGACGGGAACGTCAGCCTGTGGAGGAAGTGGCAGCCGGTAATCTGGAATCTGTTCGAGGACCCCTACTCATCCAGGGCGGCGAGGGTAAGAGCGCACCGCTGCGTCCGAGGCTCTCCAAAACACACAACGAGCTCCACTCTGCTAACTCTGCCTTTCATTCACAGAAACAGCAGCTCACGCTGTTAAGGGTAGCTCCACAGTTTCATTGCATGAGTCAAATTCACAAGTTGGCAAGTTGTCTCAAAACTCCCCCAAAATGTGAGCGTTGCGCTCCTGAAGTGTTTTCTTTGCAACCAAAGCTTTACTGTGAATAGGAAGGATCCATTGCTTTATAGTGCGTCCTGCTGATTTCCAGATTTAATTATGCCACTTTAAAAATAAGCAGATTTTTCCAGTCACGATCAAACAAGCTGCCAACACCGTCAGGGTGGATGTTCACAGCAGCAGTGTTGTATCCTGTATCTGTGTCTCTCAGTGCTTCCTGTTTATCGGCCCCAGCCTGGGAAATATCACTCCATCACTGACACTATTTAGATCACAGCCAGCGTTTTCTAATAACCTGCATCTCAGCACCGCTCCAAAGAAATGTGTGGGACTTTCTAAAATTAGAGCAGTGCCTCGTGCTGGGAATAACAGGGATGTCAACTTATAGCCACATGTGGCATCTTCATCTTTCCTTTCTGCTCATCTTTTAGTTGTTTTAGACTCGAGCACAGTGTGAAATCAAAGATTTAACCACCCGGCTCACAAGGCTTGTTGTTTACTGAATGTGCAACACCAAGATGTTAGAACCAACCCAGACAAGCACACGCTGCCCTCAGGTGTTATAAATCAATCAGCAAAAGTTTGGGAATAGTTTATTCAGTCCACATCTGGAACAGCTGCCTGTCTGCTTTCAGAGCAGGAGCTGTGGTAAGCTCGCCTCAGGCTGCTGGTGTATTCGGGAGCAAACTGTTCCCTCATTGGGTGATTGACGTGCTGTAAGAGGGAATATGAGCAAGTTGTGATGTGATGCTGTGTAAACGAATGCCTCACAAAGTCTTCAGGATGTCTCAGACAGCATGCTGCTGCTGCACAGGTCTGAGTGATGTAGGTTATTTGAAGGGTAATTAAACACAAAGACAGCAACGCAGGAACAAAGCGCTCTGCCGAGGTTTGATCCAAGTGTCAGGGCAACAAACATCTGACCTGACATCACAGTTCAGGGCGTGGTTAGAGGTCGGGGGGCTGGAAGTGTGGAGCTCCTGTGCTCATAGCTGAGGCCACATTTATGATATATATACGAACCAGGGCTGAAATCTGTCACATAGAAATGAACGGCATCATGTTTCACTGTGCGTGGTTAAAGGAACGTGCCACATTATTCTTCCTCCACTCGTACGCGAGTGACCTGGCATCATTTACAGTTCAAATGAAACCTTGTTTATGTCGTGCTGGGACTCTGTGCAGGCTCTGCGTTCATGCACTGTCTGACATTTTAACTAACTGTCTTCTGATTCGCTGGCTCATAAATGTGAGGTAGATAGTACTCTCATGAGAAGACTACATCAATCATATGGGATGTGTTTGACATCAGAGAGCCACAGATATGAAATGAAGCTTTGACAGTGACAGTATATTGTTACTGTTACATGGATACATTATGTATAGAAAAAGGATAAATTAGGTCCACTTTGTTGTAATGGAGCTGTTTGTTGTAACCACAGTGAATGAAAAAGAAACATAAATAAAAAGTGCTAAAACGAGGCTCCCACTGTGGACGTGAATCAGAGTTCTGCTTGACAGTATTGTGATATTTTGCAATGCCAGTGCCACTCCTCACACCTCCTTCATCAGCCTTTCAAAAAGAGCATTTTGTCTTGGTGTCCATTGTTGCTGCAGCTGCTGTGTCAAAGCACTGATGCCAGCTTGTTTCTCTCTGCGACACCAGCGGCTCCACTTGATCATCCGTCTGTGGATTTAATAAAACTATTTGTTTCAACACACTGTGATCTTGATGTTAGTACAAGATTAATATTTCTCTTAGCATTATTTAAAATCAATACATTTTGGGTCCCTGAACACAGTGAGTTAGCCTATCTCGCCCTGTGCTGATAGGCTCCAGCACCCTGCCACCCTGAAAAGCGGGAGAGGTATGGATAGACTTGAATATCTGTTCGCTGATATTGTTTTTATTTCTTTCTGAAGTTGGTTTTCCCACATTTGTAAGTTTTTACAGCATTTATAATATCCAAAACTTCAACAACCATGGTCTTTAAACCGGGGACAAAATCATCTCCGAGACAATCGGCAAATAAAAAGGTGGTAAAGGCTCCTGCAGTGCACTTGGAAACTGAATGTCCTGACCACGGCACGACTGTTGCATCCAGTACAGCCCTTTAGCTTTTTCACCCATAATCCTCCGAGGCTCTGAAGGCACAAATGCTCCGCCCACAGGCTGATGTTAGGCTGCATATAACCTACAGCTGAGGGAAAATATGCTTTTATCTTCTTTGGTGAGACACAAAGTAGATTTCTGTGCTTCGAGCATTTATCGCGTCTGTACCGAACAATAAGAGCTGCTGTTATTCACCACACATCCTGCTCATTGATAAATTTCCCCTCAGTATGTTTGAGCGTTTGCTTTCCTTTCGTCAGGAAGCTGAATCAGGCTCTGCCTTCTTCACGCAGCAGCTCGTCCATCTAACAAGAGAAGAGTTTTATATCTGGACGTGTTCTTCTCTTCAGTGCAGACACTGAAGAGTTTTATATCATTCCTCCTCTTCAGTGTCTGCAGGACCACCATGAGGTTGATGTTTACATAAAGGAAGCAGTGTTGTTGCCTCACACAGCAACTCATCAGACAAAGTTTGCCGTAACAGCAGGTGATAATTTGCAGGTGATAACATTTCTTAATTATGTTGTAATGATACGCTACTTCTATCATCATTCTGTGGTGAGATAAGAATTGTTCCAGTTTTGGAAACTGTGAAAACTGCAGAAAAGCCAGAATCTGAGTGTAAATTTGTTCACTCGTGGAGTTACGAGCCCTCAGAGGAGTCCTCAAAGATGAGCAGGAAACGTAAATGTCCTTCCACTCCTCATTTCAGAGTCTGACTCCGTAATTGTACCAAAGTGGAGATGCTGGGCAGGAGGAGAGTGCGTGGGTGGGCAGGTGGTACTGGCCGTGACCTCGCCCCACATCGCTTGTCCTCCTCTTTCAGTCCATCAACAGACTTTGAGCGAGGATGACGGGATTTTCCCTGCGTGTGAAAAGGCTGATGTTCCCACACCCGCTGACAAATTTGAGCTTGGATTGATTTCACCTCATTAATCTGTAGATGGAAACTCTAACTGATGGGGACAAAATTCAATCTCTCCAGCCTTTTGTTCCTCCAGACGTGGCTGCTAATTTCTTGGAAGTGTTTCTTGGCGATCACCCTGCTGACAGAGGAACGAGCAGACGTGTGACAGAGGTAAATATTGAGTTAGTCGCCGCGTCGCTTTAGCAGGACGGAGATGGAGACGAACGCCCGTGTTTACAACACGCATACGTCTGTCTTCCTGTAGCAACACTAACCAACCGTATTTTCCTGCCACCAGTACAATAGAGAAGCATCTGCTTCTACGAGCGCCTTCAAACCTTTATTGTCTCCATGAGAATCACATCCCCTCACTGTGATGTGATAATTGCAGCCTTTTTCTCCTTGTTTAAAGCACTCCTGTAGCATTAAAGACCAGCTGGCGTATGGTTAACCTGATAATACAACTCTTACGCAAGTGTTCGTGTGTGGCTGAAAGAAGCCCTCAGGGCATTAATCTACTCCCTGACAAGGTGTTAAGGAGAGAAGGAAGGGAAATGATCCTCCAAGGAAAGGAAGCATGTTGTTTGAGTTCACCTCCAGCGCTGACACCACAGCGGGGACGGCGTTGACGTGCTCTTTAACAGCAGAAAGATGACGTGACTGGATTTGGTTTATGTCATTTAATAGAAACAATAAACTTTCATATGTTCTGTTTTCATTGATGATGATCTCATAGCGCATGAAAAACATCAGCTGTCAGCCTCGTGCACGACGATCCACCACAGACCAACAGGAATTTAATCATATATATGAAAAACAACTTTTCCTTAATTTTGTGAGATTTACTGCTCACGATGAAGTTCCTCTCATTGGACTGACAGTCGCCGTGGTGTCAGACTCACTGTCACAGTACACGTGTGCATTAACCTAACGCAAAACTTCTTCTTCTTACATTCATCTGGAGATGATTTATGTTACAGCTGTTACAGTTTGTAGTTAGGAAACCTGGTGGGCAAAAACGTAACATTACTATTACTCTACACCGTGTCCCATAGCTGGACTGGCCGCTGGCGATTTTTTGTTTTTATGGGCCGATCGATTTTTTTTTTTGGAAGGGTATAAATAATGAAAGGTGTTGGATTGGCCAATTGGTCATGATCGACTCTGGGCTGGACCAATTACAGCTGAGGAGGTCGGATGCACCCGCCCCCTTGTTTAGCAATCTTATAGACAAACTAAAGAAAATGGAGAACAAAAAAAGGAAAGGAGGTGCAGAAAAAATTAGGGCCAAAAAGAAACAAGCCCTTCAGGCAGACGCTGCCAAATGTGTAAAAATAACTGAATTGTTTGGTGGTAGCTATGGCATCGCTTCCACAGATTTAGCAACATCAGCAAGCGGTGGAGGCCAGCAGGTGGATAAAGGAAAGGGGAGGCAAGAGGAGGAGAGACCAAAAAGTGATTGCCTGCCAAAACTGATTTCCAATCTTTGCGTGTATTTTTTATGTGTAATATCTATGTTGGTAAATAGACTTCGGTGAACAGCGTTTACAAAGGGGTTATATATAGAATTAAAAAATTATCAGTTTTTCAAGTATCTTTACAACTCTTTGTTATTGTACTTACATTATAACCAATCTGGTCCTTTATCCCCACTTTAAATATTTTTACAGAACTATTGTCATATTTGAGCCATTTCTGCTGTCCAACTACTTACAAAAGACATTTTTAATGTTAATTAGACTTTTTTTAACGGCATAAATAAAGGTTATATAAAAGTCACTGCCAAAGACTGATTGCGGC